AATACAACAATAAAAATTAATTGGCGCTCCGGGGCGACTTCATTGATTCCAGTGGCGCATTTGCTTTTTCAGCTGCAGGAAAACCCGGAAAAACCTGCAGCACCACATCATCTGAAGATCTTGATCTAACAATGTCCTCTCTCTCATAAAACAAAATGTAGGGTGTCTCCAGAGGCTCCAATAAATTCAATGCATCGCCAGAACACTTAGTGTCGTTATTTTCGAAATTGATTTTATTTTCGAATACAAAATCTCTGCGAATTATGATGTTTTCTTTCAGAATCCCACATGCAATAGCCATTTGGAGCATAGCCAATGAATACATATTTTTTGGTGCGACTATCTAGTTTTTTCAGGTACCCCACAATCTTTGAATAAGCTTCAACTCCAAATATCTGCAAGTGTGATAAATTTGGTCTCCAATCTGTCAATTTTTCTGCGGGTGTTACATCCATAGAAGAGACAGGCCTTCTATTCAATAAGTGTGCCAAAGTGAGTACTGATTTGCCGCAGAATGTTTTGTTCAGGTTAGAATTAAAAAATGAGAAGACAAGCTCTCTTCATCAAGGCTTTGTTCAGCCGTTTCGATTTTCCATTGAGTTGAGGTGTGTAAGGTATGGTACAATAAACAATTCCTTCACTTTAACACCTCCACTATCGCATCTAATTTTAGAAAATCTCATGGTTTTGAAGGCTTCAACTTCACTCACATAGTTTTTGATGCATTGAAATACTTCACATTTGAGAAGGTATATCATGCAAAAATGTGTAGAATCATCCAAAAATATCAGTATGTATCGTTTTCCATCCCAGGTAATCAGTTGAATTGGTCCACATAGGTTCGAGGGGCCTTTTTGCACAATATTTTTCACTGTTGAACGGCAACCTTGTCGGTTTGGATTTCAAGCAAATTTCACAAATTCCCTCAAATCTTCTCCAAGTTCATTCCAATTGTTATGTTATTCTGTTTTTTACGTTCATTATACTCAAATGTACCAATTTCCTATAAACAACAATGGACACATGTGAGACCCCTGTGGCACACTCGAAGTGACTACAAAAGGTGCAGATCTGTATCTGTTTACTTTCACAATTTGACTATGGTTGAAAATATAAAACATTAGCGAACTCAAGAGGTCACTCTGTACAACGACCTCAGATAGTTTTGAAATAAGCAAGTTTTGATCAACTTTATTGAAAGTTTTACTGAAGTCGGTATTCAATGAATTTACCCACTCCCGGTTATCCAAGGCAGTGGAGATGTTTTCAGAGTATATTATTAGCTTGGCCTCAATATCTCATTTTGAAAAAAAAATGTGTTGGGACTCTATAATTGAGAAAATGAAATAAAGTATCAAGCTGCCTGTTTGGTGCAATAGGAACAAATTACAAAATTATTTAAGTCCTTACCCTTTCTTGTAATACAATGCAAGAACATTTGCATAGCGATTTGTTTCCTCAACTAGACTCGTAGATGATGCAATTGAAAAAGATGATGGAGTTTGAGCTACATTAAAGCTTCCAACTGATTGATTTTCAACATATGAAAATGGATATACCGGGGTAGTGCTGAAAGGTGGCCTTGGTGAAGGGGTGATTTCCGAAATGTAACTTTGAGCTGGACTTGGTGGAGGGTCTCTTTTGAAGCTTTTAGTTGGACTTGGTGAATGTTCGTTGACTGCCGTTCCTTGTATACTAGGTGGGGGTGATTTGAAATTCCATTGCTTTGACGCAGATGCCTGCAACTGATAGAATTTATGAATCAAGTGAAATTCCTTGTTTATATATCCTTATGTGTGATTATCTATTTGATTCCTAATTACCAGTTCACGCAGTTGGCAGTTTGCCAGTTTGTCATAATTTATGGAATAAATAACCATAATTGGGATTTATTTTTGGTACCTTGAAATTTATAGATGGAGGAGATTCAGTCACTGACCAGTTTGTACTTTATCTATCAAAACCAGAAGTCATCTGGAATGATGACAATGTACTGAAACATATTAAATCTTAAAAATCACCAAAAGTATTTTAAAGAGAAATTTAAAACATTTATTTTCATACTTGAAATGGCACTGATTGATTTATATGGTTTTACGAGGTTACTTCTGGAATATTTTCATTTTTCCTGACGTAGTCCAATTATATACCTACACGTATAGTAGCACATATATAATATATATTTAGATAACAAGACATACATTATAGGACACAGAAGATAAAATGATGCAGCAGCATTAGACATAAGATGAGTAAAATGTTGCATAGGATATTGAAAATAAATAAAACCTGAAAACTTTCAGAGTTGTTTCAGAGAAATCATACTAAAGTCTACTAGCTTTTTTTTTATAAGAGAGTAGACGTGGATATGTATTATATTTTTCAAATGTAGAGCCCTGATAAAGCGTTTTTGTACTTTTTCTAGCAAGTCAGTAACAGATAGCCCTCGAGGCGACCATATAACACGAGAGTATTCAAGTGAATGCAGGTACTAGTTAAATAGTACCTACTGTAGGTAAAGTCATGGCAATCTTCTGTAGCATTCCGCTTGTAAGTTTTCGATATGAGTGTTGAATTTGAAATTAGAAGTAAAAGTTGAAAGTGAAGAAATTGTCAATCTTCCAGAACTTTTTATTTTTTCATTAGGATAGTGAAAGTAATTGTTCAGAGAGAGCCTTTTCTACTTTGTATCTGAAAAACACTTCTATGCATGATCTACACACCTTTGTAAAGAGATTATTTGAAATCTGTTTTGAAAAAAATCGGTTTTTCTGTTAACCAGCTGTCGCACCCCTATGAACGCCAACCCTCAGAAATCGAACCTTGTACGAGCTAAGAACTAACGAGGTCTTACTTTTTAACGTGTGATTCCTAACACGGTTTGGACGATAGCAAGTGAAAATCGATTGTTCAGCCTGGGGCTTGAACCGCCGACTAACACGGCGGCCCATTTGAGTGAATGAACAAAGCACCAACATCGAACCGACCGGCTACCGATTGTAGCTTCTTTTCATTTCTTAGGAAGATTAAAATAGAAAGATGGAGCAGTAGAGACAAAAAGCTTTTCCCTTCTTTTCTAAAAAATATCCCCCTTACAATCCGCTCAATATATACTTAACAAAAGTGGAAGTTTCTCTACTAATCTGAGTATTTCTAATTACCTGTTAGAGAAAAACATTTTGAGTAGCTATATAGTGGATATATTGAATAAAAGTAGTTTTTTTTTCAGAGTTCTTTATCAGTTTGGCCACCCACCTGGAAGAAAAATAAAAAGAATGGCACAATTGCAACAAACTGATATCAACCTTGCACTACATTGAATATTTCAGAAGTCAATCAATAGATAATATCGACATATTTCACATTTCAAAACTTCTTTGATATACATGATAATGTCACACTAATAACTTTACTAGGGATGTGTTTCTCTGCGCAGTAGCTTTGTCAGTCGAACTGAACCTTTGATATTTGTCGGGTACTTTTGAAAATGAAGTCAACTAAAGGAAAAACTCCCAATATCATTAGATTTTTTCTAATTCTGAAGACAGGCAGATTTCAACCTTCGAAACATTGAAATAAGTATCTATTTAATTTCTTAGTTCTGTTTTTGACAGACAAATTTATTAAATATGACTGTTACTGCGGGAATCTTCCAAAAGAAAGGAAGCAGACAATTCATTTCACAATAAACTCTTTACAAAGATGTGTAGATCATGCAAAGAAGTACCTTTTAGGCACAAAAACTGGAAGAAGCCTTCTCAAACCAAACTACTTTCATATCAAAACTGAATTACACAAAAGAAAGAATACTTTCCAAACAACTAATGTTGAAGTTTCTCTACTACTCTGAGTATTTGTAATAACTTGTTAGAGAAAAACATTTTGAGTGGATATATATACTGAATATATTAAAGAAAGATATAGCTAGTGGCACATTAACAACAAATTGATATCAACCTTGTACTACATCAAATGTTTCAGAAGACATTTCATATTTCAAAACTTATATATACATAATGTTATCTAGATTGGTGCTGAAGAGGCAATAAGGCAAGTGTCTCATTCCAAAACATCGGATGTCCTCTATTGAGGATGACAGTGTTCTGCATAAGTGAAATTTTACAGCCTTCATATACTATGTTGGGTAAACAATCATGTGAGTGTAAGTCAATTTTTATGTTCACTACCAAAAAGCTACTGTCGTAACGAAACGTCATGATATACTTTTCGAAAATAAAGTTCGTGAAGACCAAATCGTAATGTGTAGTTTATGAAATATATGAAAGTAGTTGTTTCGAGAGCCATGTGAACTATACAATACCATTAGATGAGGATTTCACAATTCATTTTGTCAAAGTGTGAACGCTTTATTTTAATAAAATTGTTTTCATGCACTTAAATGTTTATTGTTATTATTTACAATTTTCAAATTTATGAAAAATAAATATTTCACCTGATGGTAATTTGGTGGTGGTGTAGAAAAGATTTGTGGATTTAAATAGAACCCGTTTTGTCTGTCCATTTCTAGGATTTTCTTGTCATTTTCAACACTAAATAGTTACCATTTTTCACTGTTCATTTACGATTTAATGAAATGACATATGACACTACTTTTCATATTTATAACCTTCAGAACGCCCCTTAAGAAGAAGTAGGACACAGAACACATAATGCCGCCACAGAATCATTTTGTGTTCGATTTTGAAGTCTGGAGTCGAGCTGAGCAGATGCAGATGATACCACGTGATTACAGCGCCAACGGAGCGAAATATATTCAACGAACGCTCGATTATATCTGAATGACATGTTGACATTTGTGGTATAATTTTTCATCACAAAACCTCTAATATATGATTGATGAAGTTTTTTTCAACAACATGAGTGTAATTTATATTTTTTTAAATACAAACATTTTATTACAAGTATTTGACAATGGCTATAGTGTCAAAGAAATTATTTTAATGAAATGAAATTAGTTATTTTACTTTCACGGCCGGTTTCGGGTTTTATCCCATTATCAAGTATAAAACTAATTGAAAATTAGACAAAAGTATTTTCATCCATTTCATTATAGTCATCACGAATTTCCACAAAATAACAAGTCATCAATTACATAGATAAAAACTATTATTATGTAATAGTCAAGGGTATAACTATGGCACCTCCGGAAACCAGAGGCGTGAGGTCACCTATTTATTTCATATGGATGATCTTAAACTTCATGCCTCTGGAGAGAAGGATCTGCATCAGTCCTTGAGGGTGGTGAAAGAGTACACGGATGCTATTAGTATGAAATTCGGGATAAACAAATATGCGGGAACTACGAAGATGATGTGCAGCTCGTAGATGAAAGCATCAAACACCATCTGGATACCGGAGAGAACAACGCCCCTCTCAAGAGGCAACAGCAGTGGATAACTTTTTCCACGGCACGTATCAGCACAAACTCCGACAGGAGTTTGCATCCCAAGTAATCAGTTCCACGGTTGGACTTTCCCCGACAACAGGGATGCTGTGGACTTTTTTGGAATGTCTACATGACAGATGAATGATATACTGTCTGTGAAGTCATCAGACGTTCGGACCATCTTCTTGGCATGGTCTCTGCGACCATGCCGAGAGATAGCATGAGATAGCAGATCTCTGCTATCTCATGGCAGATAGCCATGAGATAGCAGAAATTAAAACATTCCTCTAGAGGGTTTCTGCCTGAGCAGCTGGTGACCTCGGTTAAGTTTACAACTCTGAACGAAGTGATCACCATTCTGTCGCTGAATTGGAAGCTGTTCAGTAAAAGACCCATATCATATATCACTTCACTCATGCGGCAACACAAGGTTAAGCCAATGCATGGGGCCTTCTTCAACAACATTGTAGGTCTTGGCTCACCAAAGCGTCTGACCTTCGCTTTCCTCAGGTCGAAAATGCTGATGTCGGAAACTGAGGGGTTCATCATGGTTTGCCAGCATATGAGGTCTCAGCCTATATCCATTGACATAACGTGGCCCTAAGAGTGCTATATTAACACCTATGGCGACACACCGATGTGGGAAACGAGACGTGCCGAATTTATAAGAATCATTCTTTTCCCATCCTCAGGCTCATGCAATCAGATAAGCCTGACGTAGTAATTGTCGACCACAAGAGTAAGGCGATATTTGTCGTGTAGTTTTCAGCTCCTGGCGAGACGAATATTGTTCGAAAATAGAAGGAAAAACGGATAAAACATCGAGATTTCTTCTTCAAACTCCACAGACTATATCCAACTATTCTGTCAAGATGTTTGTTCTGATTATTATCGGAAGATCATATATACGTGGTGTACGACAAGATATCTCTCTCGGAATGAGATATTTCTTCTTATCGGAAATGTTGAAGTTGTTCATGAGTGCCTTGGTCTTCTTTTCCACATATGTTGTGGGATCTCTGGTTGTTGGTTGGTACTTCGGAGAGTCAAGTAATGTCGTCATCTTGTCGATGTATAGCCACTGGTGTTGAATACTACAGTGGCATTACCTTTGTCTGCGGAAAGAATAACTATGTCTGGATTATTATTTGAGTTTTTCAGAGATTGTCTCGCCGATGAGGTGATACTGGATTTCGGAAATTTTTCTTTTCTCAAAGTAGTGGCGATATTCTGGGGGGCTTTTTTGGCCAGGTTTACAGGAAGATGGAAAATGGCTGATTTGGTCTGAGTGAGGATGGTTTCAATGTAAATGGATTTGGGAGCTATGGCGAAGTTGAAGTCTTTCAACAAATTTCCAGCAGAGTATAGTTGTAGACTAGGACTGGTGGGTCGGATGTGACTGACGGGTGTTTTATGATGAGTAATGCTTGCTTTTTCTTTTGTTTGTTATTCTTGGTATCACTGATGTGTTCTTTTTTTTTTCATAATCTATTCTGAGAAGTGTCCCTAATAACAGGATGAATTTTTTAGTTTGATAACCGTCCGTAACATTGATACGAGGATGAGTTGGTGAAGTGAAGATTGCGTATGACGTCTTGGATGGTCTTTCGAACAAGGGCGAAACTAGAGCGGTCAAGAATCCCCCTGGCATGGATATATTTATCATGGAAGTTGATCTGAAATGCCTTGGAAATTACTTGACGCTTCAAGAAAAGAAAAATCACATAGAAGTGAAATTTTACAAACAAGTGACAGTATTGTCACGCTATTCAACTCACAGCATTGAGTACCTCGCTTCTGTTAGTCATAACCCCGTTTCCACTACAAACTCCACCATCGCTCCCACTACCGGCCCCTCCTTCAGTCGTCCAGGGATGTGAATACCAGACCAGAACCGATGAACCGCCATCCTACACAGCTTATTATATCATTATTGGTTAGTTATGAAAAATAAAAAAAATGTCTTAAAAACGACCAGAACATTATGTGTTGTAATTGAATCTGTTTTTAAAAATTTTGTTTTTCCTTTAACCAGCTGTCGCACCACTACAAACGACAACCCTCAGAAGTCGAAACTTGTGCGAGCCAAGGACTAACGAGGTCTTACCTTTTAACGTGTAATTCCTCACACGTTAAAAATGATGGCTTCATAAAAAACAACAAATTTTCACCAACAAATTAACATGTACTCACAGAATCATGGTATAAGTTAACAGAACATCTGAGCGTCTGTAAATTTCTTCACTTACTAAAGCCTAATGACTCACATTAGATAAATAGGTAGGTACGTAGTTTTTCCACGGAGAAATACAAACTTTTGACAACAATGCAATAGATTTTTAGTGACAGAAAATTTACGGATAGAATGAAACGAGAATAATTAAAGTGTCCTGAATTATGAAAGTTGACTCCCATCTGGAAAAAACACTCTTCTAGAACATGACATTGAATGTAAGTTTCTCAAAACACATCAAATTCATAAGAAAAATCGTCTAACCTAAAAACTGAAAGTCTTGTCGAAGCAGTGCGTTTCAACAATCAAGTATGCATCATCAGGACATGAACTGTACAGTATAGTCCATCTCCTGATGACGCCAACGTGGTTGGTGAAATGTCGACTACTTCTTGCTTAATCTCATACAACTGAATATGGATTTAAAAGTTTCATTAGTTCATTATCATACTCACAATTGTCCAACATGAAGGCACTAATAAACGAACACACAAGTATGTTTAGGTCCTCTAGTATAATTATGAGCTCTGTGGTATATGAGATCTGTTGATATTGGAGCGTCTCATAACAGTTGCAACTTGGCTCCTGCAACTTGGGAAACTCTCGGCAGATGTGTTGTTATACATTTACTCCTTATATTCTATTACAAAAAATGAATGCAATAATTCTAACAGTTATACTAATCATTATTTCGAAATTTGACTTCATTTTCGGATATATATGTTTTCCGATATTCAGTGCACTATTTCCGACTTTAGACTTACAATAATGCGAATTGTGAATTAGATCAGGCGAACTCAAGAAATTAGGTTTGATTATAATGTAATGAAACAAAAATAACCGGTAACCTTACCTAACAGAAGTAAGATTTAAATAATAAAACTAGAAATTGTAAAACATAACACGTATTGTAAATTCAGTAGTTGAATATAGTTTCGGATATGTTGAGTTTCCTGCAACTTTTTTCTCATTTCATTTCTGAAATGGTTTGGCTCTCATGTCTCAGATCGGTGGTTAATAAGATTTTATATATTTTGACCTTCTGAAATTACTGAAGTATTTTTTCGGGAAATATGGAAATGATATTTTTCGAATTCGATTATTCCTTTCGTCATCTAAAAAATTAGCATTGTCTAGATCAAAAACATTCAGACTCGATTCCAGGGTCCTGTTTGTTTGAGAAGGATAAAGCTGTAGGAACATCGATCGGTTGTTATGTTCTCAGTTTTCTGTGGAGAGTTTGAATCTGTTCTGATAACTAGAGATTCTCGCACTCCAAGTTGGAGATCCTATTTTTTACAAGTTTCAATTCTTCCTTGATTTCCTATGGATAATTTTTCATGATCTCAGCTCTTTTATCTAGGCCGTTGAGATGTTTGAAGATCTCTTTACGATTTACGATTACGATTTACGAGTGAAGAAGGGCATAGTTGGAAAAAATTTATCAGTGCCAAAATTTATCACAGAAATATCCGAAATTTATCACAGAAATGTATTCAGTTTTTATAAAAGTTTTCGATTCCAGGGTAGATGAGGTGTAGGTATATGTAATTTGTATAACACCAAGTAATAACTTTCGCGAAGGAACCAGCTTCCTAGCACTCAAGGAACTCGTGGAACTTCAAAGAAAATAGTAGCGATCACAAATATGTCTGCATACCTCGTTCAACTCCATTTCATCATTCATATTAAATGAGTAATATTTACAGATGAAATTCACAGTTTGTTTGTTTGTTGTTGTTATTTGAAATATGTTTTTCCGTTAACCAGTTATCGCACCCCTACGAACGACAACCCTCAGAAGTCGAAACTTGTGTGAGCTAAGGACTAACAAGATCTTACCTTTTAACGTGTGATTCCTAACACGGAACTATAAATTGTCAAATTCAGTTAAGACAAGCGTCAGTAGACAACATTATTCTCGCATATACACTCCGAACTCAACACAATAGATGTCACTCAATGAAAAGAAAATCTTACCTGCAAC